AGGGAGAAAGAGAATCCGAAGCAGATTCCCCACTGAGGGTGGAGCTCGGCCCTATGACCCGGAGACCACAACCTGAGCTGAAATCAAGAGTCAGACACTTAGCCGACTGAGCCACCCAGGTGCTCCGAATTTGACCTGCTATTAAAAGTTAAGATCGCTTACGAGAAAACGTAGGGGGCAATCTTTTTTTTTTTAGTAATAGGCATCCTAACGTGTGTAAGGTGATAGTTCATGGTGGGTTTGATGTGCATTTCTTATACCAGACAATTCGCTGCGAACTTTAAAAATGGGGTGGTCTGTTTATTGGCGTGGAAGAGGCAATGGTATCAGGGACACGTTATCAAGGACATGTGCTGTGAAGTCACATCCCAGCGAGGCCACCTGATGGCTGTGCGACCCTGGGTGAGGTAAGCCCAAATGTCTTTACCTGCGAAATGGTAATAAAAGTGTTACCTCCACAGAGCCATTGCCTGACAACACTTTAAATGTAAACACATAAGAAACAAAGTTGGGGATAGGTTTAAAAAAATTCTTCTGTGTATTTTCCATATCGATTATGTTTTACTCTAGGGAAAAATCAGCTAAATAGATAAAAAATTATATGTGTTCATATACAAGGTCCTAAAATGATGCATACTAAAGAGGTGAAGGGTCATCACAACTGCAGATGAAGGCAAGGAGGTAAGAAAATTTGCCCTTTTTGCTTTATATGTTTTGTTAACATTTTGACAGGCATGTATATGTTATTGCTTTTATTTATTTTTGTTTTTTAGTTTTATTGAGTTTTAGATTTTAATTCTAGTGTAGTTAACATACAGTGTTATATTAGTTTCAGGAGTACAATATAGTGATTCATGTGGGGAAAATGTTCATGACATTGGCTTTGACAAAAGATTTCCTGGATAGGACACTAAATGCATAGGCAACAACAGGAAAAATAGACAAATGGGACTTCATAAAAACTAAATGCTTTCAGGCACCAAGGACACCATTGGGAGAATGAACATACATATTTTCTCCCATAGAATTTCCCCATTCTATGGGAGGAAATATTTGCAAATCACGTATCTGATAAGGGATTAATATTCAGAATATATAAAGAACCTCTATAACTCAATAAAAACTAAAACCAAATAGCCCAATTAAAAAATGGGCAAAAATTCTCCAAAGGAAATATCCAAATAGCCAACAAACATGAAATGATGCTCAATACCATACTCATTAGGAAAATGCAAATCAAAACCACCACGAGACACCACTTCACACACATTAGGATGGCTACTTCCAAAAACACAGAGAATAACGAATATTGGAAAAGACATGGAGTGATTAGACCCCTCATGAGCTGCTGGTGGGAGAGTGAAATGGAGCAGCCGCTGAGGAAAACAGTGTGGCACGTCCTCAGAAAGTTAACCATCCAATGAGCTTGTGGTTCTGCAACTGCACTCTGGGTCTGTACCCAGAAGAGGAGGAAGCAGAAACTCAGAGAGGTGTTTGTACGCCCATGTTCGCGGCAGCATGACGCACAGGGGCTGCAGGCTGGATGCACCCTGAGCGTCCATCCATCGGGGGTGATGGGTCAACGAAGTGTGGTCTGTCCACATGACAGACTATGTTCCAGCCACCTGCGCCATGGGTGAGCCTGGAGGACGCCAAGTGAGCTAATCCTGTCACGGAAGGACACATGCTGGGGTTCCCAGGCACGAGGCCCGTGGCACCGTGAGTTTTAGGGACAGCGAGCAGAATGGAGATGTTACATGCCCTCCTGCAGGCAGCTGTTGGCTGAGGGGCACCATGCAACAGAAAACAGGAAGCAGGTCAGGCTGCTGAGACGGAAGGAGGTGCTGGACCCACGGCCTCGTGGACGCACAGGCCTGCCCACATTCCCACTGCTTGGCCACTTCATTGGCACGTCCGCACACCTGTGCGCCCGAGGGGCAGTTGATTCCCATGTACAGTGAGGTCCCCGGTCCTGAGGCCCTCGGCAGACAAAGGAATGGGCCTCCCCAAGCTCCATGGGGCTTTCCAAACATGAGCCGCAGCAGGGAGGCCATGGTGTGCACTCAGAGCGGCCCAGTGGGGCTCAGTGGGTAGGTATCTGTGATGGCCCCCTGGCGAGTGACAGGGCCAGCTAGTAGCCGCTGCCTCAGGGTGACCCTCCACCTGGCACCCACTTCCTTTAAAAAATTGCAACTAAACAAAAACAAAAACATCTGGCCGAAGAGATGTCACGGACACAGATTTAAAAGGCACAACTTTGGAAAACATCTTGTCTGCAAACACATTCTGACTACGCTTGAGCCTCGTTCTCCGGTGAGAGAGGAGCATGCTCCTGAAAACGGGTTCTGATGAAAATATTAACTGCGAGTGAGAAATGCACTCGTGGCAACAGAGGGGATGTGCAGAAGGATTTTGCAGACAGGGCAGAGAGCAGGAGTCTATTTGCTTTGATTTCAAGCTGCATTGTCGTCTGCTTGCTAATAAACTAGACAGTGGAGAAAGCTTGAATTGTGCCTCACGCATTCTCGCCCCTAAATAGGACGCGGGCCTTAATCCCCGGGAGCCCGAGTGAATGCGCGTGCGGCCGCAGCTGGGCAGGCGAGGGCTCGCGGGTGTGGGTGCCCCGTGCAGGCCGGCCGTGCAGGAGAGCTTTGGAAGGGCATTCTTTGGTCCTCATGCAATTCATTCCTTCTAAGAAAAGGAAATGGGAAGAAAGGTTTCGTGTCCAGGCTTTGGGCCTTTGATCATTTGATGAACGCCGGGTCTGCAGCGCGGCCTCCAGCTTCTCAGGCCAGACAAAGGCAGCCCAGGCCCCACCAGGCTGGCAGCTCAAGCCAGAACAAAACCCCAGGCGGCTGCGCAGTGTGGCGGCCTGGGAAAGACCCACCTCGGCCAGCGAGGGGCCGCCCTGCCCTTTGATCTCTCCTGAGACCCGGCCCACGCCCCAGGTCAGAGGATTTCACACTGCACGCCCCCTGGGCAGAGGGGAGCAGGTCAAGAACAGAATGGGGGTGACCCATCTCAGACGTGGCCTGGAGACTGCCCTCCTCGGCCAGTTCCACTCGGCTGGGCTCCATTGTTGAAGGCTGGCCACACTTGAAGGGGATCTGACGGTCCATGCTACAGCGGAGCCACTCAATGGCAGGCCGCCTCGGACAATGCAGCCAGCCCCGCCCCCGCCGGCTCCTTGGGCTGCCACATTCTTCAGCTGTGCTGCTTCTGGTGAAGCAGTCTGCACCTCTGAAAATCCAGGACACCAACGTGACCCCCATAGTACTGAGAAAGCGGTGGCGTCTGTCCGCTGCCTGTGGGGGAGCCGGTTCCATTCTGAGGCAAATGTGCACCGTGGGTTACCGGGTCACGTTGCTTTACCACCACGGGAGCCACTCAAATACCAACGAGGGTCCGCAGGCTTCCAAAGGAATTCTGGTCTAATGGGAGGGAAATACCACGTGTGCAGCAGGCAGAGAAGGAGGAGCGGGTGTAAGGGAAGAAAGGTAAATTCTCTTAAGAGCTCCGAGCTCCCAATAATTGCAAATTTGCAAATGGAAAGATGTATTTGATAAGGCACAGTGGCATCAATAGCTAGGAAAGTTTAACGAAAATGTTAGAATTGTGTTAGGATCAAAAACCAAAATAGGTCATTAAAAACAGTGTCAGATCATTTGTCTTTTTGCTTCGGTTTCTTTGCACATCGCCAGTGCTCAGCTAATTTAGGGCACTTAAAATAAGATTTGATGGTGCAAAGCCAGTTTCTTGCTCTCTGCAGTGGCCCGCCTGAGAGGCTGCAGACATGGAGCAGGGTATGGGGCGCACAGCCTGGGGTCTGGTCCTGGCCCTCCAGTGGCTGGTCATACGGCATCCATCACTCAGGCGTGCTGGTCCTTATGTGTAAAACAGCGGGCTACACATCCACATCCTTGGTCTAGAGATGCGTTCCATTTTTCTCCTTTTTAACCAGAAGAAAGTGGAGTATGGAAAATGCTTAGTTTGGAGTTGCCAGCATCTGTGTGAAAATGTACTGAAACTCATTTCTATAATCAGCACCTGCTCTTGTTTCTGGGCAAAGGATGAAGGATGGGTGCTCTGGAAGGTGGGGGCCTGTCTGTGAGAACACGCAGGCCTGTGCACGCGTGCGCATAGACGAAGAGAACGTTTTGTTCACGGGTGAGAAAGACGGAAGGTGTCCCCACCTCAGCTCGAGTCCTTCCAAGTCCCGTGGGATGTGGACAGGCACCATGGGAAGAGCGGTGTTTTCTCAGGGAGGCTTAGGAAATGCTGCAGGATTCCTCAGTCGCCATGGTAATTCACGTGTCCATGAGGCAGGTCCATTGTGAATCCTTCCCGAAAGTGGCTGTGGAGCATGCTCCCTGGTCTCTAAGGAGACACCTCAGGGCTTTGGTGCGGGGAGCACATTTGAGCGACCAGACCAGCTCAGCATCCACACCTCCACAGGGGCAAAGGGGGCCAGAGGGCTAGGCTCAGGCTCTGCCCCAGCTGCCGGACCGGTGCCTCCTCCTCTCGGGTTAGAATGCTTCAGGGTAAACCCCTGTGCACCGTGTGTGCGTGCTGGGACCGCAGGGGCTGCAGGGGTGAGCGTGTGCTGGACGAGGGTGTTGAGGGGTTGCTGGGGGAGAAGGCCACGGCAGGCCCACGATACCGCACTCTGCACACAGCTTTAGCAACAGGGAGGTTTGCACGGAACACGTGAAGGACACTCTGATCTGCTACAGCCGTCAAGGAGCCGAAGGCTGTCTTCGCCTCGGGTCTTCGCCTTGGCAGTGAGGTTAATCATGACCTCTGCAGCAGCTACTTACCCACACCTACTGTGCGCTTGCCTTAGAAATACCCTGCTTGCTGCAAACAGCCTTCACGTGACTCAGGAAAGGGACAGCCATCGGCCAATTTCCTCCAAGGCCGAGGAGAGTACTACCCCCAGGTTGCCACGGCAACGCGGTCCCAGCTCAGCCGCCACAAAGCAGCCACGCTCCCCACCTCACCTTTGGCCATCTTGTTGAGAACCATGTCGATCAGGACGTAGGTGCCGCTCCTGCCCGCGCCGTCACTGCCAACGGAAGGGGAGAGGTGAGAACACCGCCGGCCACGGGAACCCCACGCCCACCAAAGCCAGCGACAGCGTATTTCCCTCCGTGTTAAGTGGGGCTCGTGGGGGAAGAGGAAGGCTTGAATTTGAAAGAGGAAGAAAGTGGGGTGAGGAAGAATCACAGGATGGGAGAGGGGAGGGGAGGAGGAAGGGGAGGAGGGGAGGAGGGGAGGAGGGAGGGGAAGGGGGAGGAGGGGGAGGGGAGCCTTAGCATCACCGGCAGTGTGGATGAGCTATGGTGTCTGCATAGATTTGCTCCTGTCTCCCTTTTTCTCCCTCTTTGGCCAAAGACGTGGTCAGTTTTGTCAGAATAAACAAAGGCTGGGTCTGGCCATGTCTGCGTTGAGGGTGTTTGCACTGGGGTGAGCGAGGTCACGCCAGCTGTGACTGGGGTCCCTGGGAGAGGACATTAATCAGCCCGTGGAGGGCAGGGAGGCTCCTCTCTGGGGAAGGCAGCTGCTTTGTGAGGCGTGAGGGCGCGTCTCCCCTCGTCTCAGAGGCTGCGAGTCCCCCTGGGAGCAGTTGCTAGATGGGACTGTCATGTCCACTCCTAGCAAAGGCAGCTGTGTCCACTGCAGGCTCGGGAATGACGGGACCAAGCACCCTGTTTGTGGCCAAGTGCCGGCCGCGGTCCTGGGAGACCTGGTGGGGTCTTGGCGGCCTTTGTGGGAAAGGCTCAGGGGCTCTGGCTTTACCAGACCCTCAAACCGGGGGCTGGGAAAGCCGCGGCGACCCACAGGATCCTCATGTGTGCAGAGCTCACTCACCACCCCGTCCCCACTGCACAGGTAGGTGACCCTACCTGTCCCGGTGCAGGCGGGCCTCCCTCCCTCCCACAGCTGCTCGGACACCTGCACACACTGGTGACCGCTGCGGCCGGCTCGGGTCCTCGTCACACACCCACGTGGAAGCACACGGACACACGCAGGGACACGCCACACGTGCTGGCACACACACCCGACAGACACACACACACGCAGTTACACACAACACACACGGACCCGACAGACACACACACGCAGTTACACACAACACACACGGATACACACGCACCCGACAGACACACACACACGCAGTTACACACAACACACACGGATACACCCACACCCGACAGACACACACACACGCAGTTACACACAACACACTCTGATACACATGCACCCGACACACACACACACACACACTGACAGACTAGGTGTCTGATCCTTGGACAGAGCTCCTTTCTATCCAGCAGAAAGGAACCTTCTGTAAGACAGTTCTACCCATCAGAGCATAGTTCTTTACCCAAACGAGGAGGCTGTGAAGCCCAGGGGAGACGGCACCCTGACAGTGAGTTTCTGGCGGCCCTCTGCTTATCTGTGTGGGTGTAACGTGCTTGAGGAGCCGCTGGATTTTACCCAAAGGCCAGAATCCCATCCTAAGCAGGGCCAGGCCATCCCTGTGCTAATTCCCGATTCTGTCCCTGTTCCTAACGGGCCCCGAGCATTCCCCAGCATCTTGGTTCCAAACCTCAGCTGAGTGAGTTGGCGCCTGAGACATCGCCACGGATGGAAAATCCCGTTCCAAGGTGTTTGTGTGGGGGCAGCACGCGGGCTTGAGAAAATACAGGGTGTGAGGCCGTGCATGCGGCCGCGGCCTGCAGGACCCAGCACAGGGGCGGCCCAGCAGGTCGTGTGGCGCAGCGGGGCATGCACACCACGCACGTCATGAGCGACCTAGAAACTTTCGTCTGTAGCTTTGGTTCCCTTCAAAAGTGCCAGTTAGGTGCATTTACGAAGCACGGACAAAGTTCGATGTGTATATTTAACTGTGGTTTTCTTGTCAGGTAGGGAGCACCGGTTAATCCGTGTGAAAAGTTGTACTTGCCTGCAGTGAACAATTATTGGACAAGAACGGCCCCTGTAGCACTTGTTTACTTTTCTGAAATAAAAAGAGACAGAAATCATGGTTATGCACTACGACTCTTATGTCTTGCAAACTAACTCTTAAGCCAAAACAAATAGACCGTATCTTTGACATCATTTTGCAATAAGAGCCTGTTTTGACAAAGAAAATCAAAATTACACACACATTTTCAAAGATTTATTTTTCTTTTCAATATTAAATGATTAGACAGAGCTTTAAAAACAATTCTTACATTTTCGCAATTTCCCTTTCCCTTTCCAAGCGAGAACCCGGGGCTTCCGTCACCAGCCCGTCCTACCCCTCGGTCTGCGGCTCCACTCAGCTGACTGGTTGGTTGTGACATGAGGATCTAGGTTCTTTGCTAAAATGTTTGAGTTTTGCAATTTATGCTCAAAATTTCTTACATTCTAGACATCAGACTGGAATATAATATTACTCTATTGTCTCAAAACAGCATCTTACAGGTCCTTCTGGATCTGTCCATTTGGTCAGAGTTCTAAATTGCGGAGTTGAGACAAGTCCTTCCTTTGTATAAATCTGCATATGTTTACAAACAACTCTGTTGTGCAGATTTTAGACCAGAATTTATGAGAACTAACAATAAGCATAGATTGTTTTGTAATCAAGCCCTAAGTCAAAACAAAGCTCTGATTTCAAATCCTGTGATTTATATCAGCTCCAAATTTGTTGAAAATCAGTGAAACAACTAAGCGTGTTTACAAAGTACATCAGATTTTTCAATAAAATATTTCTGAGTAAAGTCAATGAAAAAATGTGTGAGGGGCCATGTTCTAAAATGCTCCCTACGAATTTCCATAATGTATATGACATGAAGCTAAATTTAAAACGAATGACAGCGCAGAAATAAAAATCTTTTTCCTTGCACCGGACATGGGAAAACATCACACATCTTTGCAAAGTCTTGCCTGCCCAGCAGAGTCAGCTGGAAGCTCATATTCTGTTAACTGGTGGCCTTGCCTCGAAACCCCAGAGCTGAGGGGTCGGGAGGCGGGGGTAGGGGTGGTGGGCAGAGGGAGGTGACGGCCCGTGCAGGTGCCCAGCGGGTATTTCCATGTCTGCCCCCAGAGCAGAGCCCAAACAACACGGAGGAGGGGGGAGCCACACCCGAGCCCACCAGGGCAGCTGTGATTGGTGGCTGCCTCCTGCAGCATGTGGAGCTTGCAGACCACCCAAAATGTCTTAAAAATGAGAAGACCCAGAAACATGGGTAGAATAAGCCGCTCAGGGTCCCTATGGCCACGTTGCTATTTCTGCTGGACTTTTTCTTACTTTCGAGGTCCACTGCAGTGTGAGGGGTTAGCGGGAAGGTGAAGGAAGTACAAGTGAACTCATTAAAATCAATGGTGGGCCAGAATGCCCGAAAGGTTCTTGGGCCTTTGAGAATAAAACAGACTGGAAAATGAATCGACTAATATCTCCGTCTAAAACCTCCCATTCTTTGGGGCGCCTGGCTGGCCCAGTTGGTGGATGTGAGACTCTTGATCTCAGGGTCTTGAGTTCGAGCCCCAGGCTGGGTGTAGAGATTACTTAAAAAAAAAAAATTAAGAAAAGAAAATCTTAAAACTCCCATTCTTGACTCAGGTTGTAAAGGCAACGTGAGCTTTAGGTCTGACAAAATAGATGCCAGACTCCCAGGACGTACCTCAGCGTGAGCGACGTGAGGCCCACCAGCTCCAACAAGGTTGTGTGTGGGCACGCTCGCCCTGCTTGTGCAGTGTGTGTACGCACTGTGTGTGCGTGCGTGCGTGTGCAGAATCAAGCAAGCTCAGGGTCAGACTAGATTTAGGGAGGCTTTATTCCTATAGGCCTTTTACTTTCAAACAGAAGACTTTACTAGAAATCTCTTGGTCGCTGAATCTTTTAGACGTGAACCTCCAACAGTCTGTGATAGTTCATACTTGGTAGTCCAGGCTCAACGTTTGCCTGCTCACATACTGCTCAATCACCAGGTTTTGGGCATTTTTTCTGATGGGGGCAAGCAAAAAAGTAGTACATTAAAAAAAAAAAAAAGAAATAAACAACCACTGAATTCCCTTGTTTAGACTGTATCAGTTTCAGAAAACCATAACTGTAAGGGGCCAGGAGAACAGGAGTGTCCCGTTTATAGCTGGTCAGCCCCATTTTTGGCAAAATGCATTAAGAATAACTGCTCTTATAGAAGACTAAATGCTCTAATAACTGCTTCTGCGGTCCCTGCTCTCCTGTTATTGAATATTTAAAGTATTACTTTCTCCAGCACATTGCGACTGGCTGCCTCAGCAGGACCCAGGGAGGTTTCAATGCGGTTTTAATATCCATGCTGGCCCCGCCCCGGGCTAAACCTATTTACAAACAGCCACGAGCAATCAAGGAGACGCGCAGTGTGAATACAATGTGCTGCCACGGTTTAGAATTTTATTTACAAAGAATCACGTGCTTGTATTATTACAACGTAAAACATCACGAATAGAAAAGTAAAAAGCATCACGTAGTCAACAAAAGCGTTCACCTGGTTGACCCAAGATAGAGATGCAGAGTATTCACGAAGATAAGAAATACACAGCTGTCTTGTTTGACTCGATTAGAACAAATCATCAGTCAGCAAAAGGTTGCAAACATTCAGAAAAATGGATATTATATATATTTCAACAGGAGGAATTCACTGAGAAAGAACGATTAGTAATACAAACCAACCCACGGGTCACTGAGTGAGAAGGAACCATCATGCAACCAACAGCAAACAAAGGTCAGAGGTCGTGAGAGGCTCAGAAAAGGGGCTCCCCACACTGCCCTGTAGCAGAGTCACAGCCTCCAATGATCACTTTTGTGACTATGCAACTGGGCTCATATTACTAGCTGCAACATCACAAAAATGACACTGGCCACCGCTCATTAGCTGGCAAAGTAAGGGTCTGTCCATTTCTACAGGGATCAGCGTTGTGAATGCCATTGCACACAGCAAGAAGGGAGAAACTCAGAGAGACAGACAGAGAGAGAGAATTTTTAAAAGCAAAGCCCTCACATGTGATGTTAATTATCTCTTGGCTTTTGCAGCTTCTCTTTAAAGTGGAAATGTGCTCCCTCTGGGCTCCAGAAGTATGTAATTACACGTCTCAGTGCCTGACACACCCTGGCCAGAGTGGGGGAAGGCTGGGCAAATGTTCGGGGTCGGGGTTGGGGTGGGGGGAGTGGGGAGACCTGCGCATAAGGTGACCAGTGTCTTCGGAAGCCGAAGCCTCTTTCCAGTTGCTGAACTTTGGGTGGCTCTTTTACCTAGAAAACCCCAAAGCGGCAATCCGTGCCCGAGAGTGATGCTCCCAAGAACGTGATCGCTCGCGCCCACTTTCCAGTGAGTGCACCACAGGCAGCCAGGTCTGGAAAACTGGGCGGTACCGAGTCAGGCAAGCCAGCATAGCTTTTGATTCTAATGGACTTGCAAATTTCAACTGAACAAAAACCTCTGGAGCCTTATCTCCTAAGCCTCTGGGGAAAGGGAACTTTGGGAGTCTGTGTTTCTTCAGGACAGGTTGTAAGCACAGAGGGTTGGTTGTGTATTGTTCAGTTCCATATATGTATATGATTTTGGCGTACGCCCATATGCATATATGTACAAACACACTGGATGAGCGTAAAGACAGGGGTTAGGATGATCTGCTATCTTTGTGGCCACATCCATTTTGCCAGTAACGGCTGTTTCTCGAAGACTGTATCTCAGGAAATGCGCCCTAGGTCAGATTTTTAGATTGCCTGTCTTTAGACATAAATTTGTATTAAGGAAAGGCATCTGACAGCCAGGACATGGGGGTGGATTGAGAGGGAACTGTGTGTAGTCAGTGCTTTGCGGTGCGTTCAGGACTCGATGCATCGTGCACGCTCGGCCTCTCTGGGTGAGGTCAGCAAACGTGTGCCATGGCTGAGATGCCACATGCGTGTCTCTCCAGGAGCTCTTTCACACACTATTTGGTCCAAAGAACTATTCAAATAAAAATTCTGTTTTGCTTTTCAAAGTAGACTAAAAGGCAAAAGAAATAGTATCACAATAACCTTGAGAATGTCTAACACACAAATTCAAGAAATGCAGAGATCAGCCTGAAACCCCACTGTCTCGAGTTACATAGCCGTAGACTCAAGGATGGTAACTGTTCGGACACAAATCACTCTGTGATTGGGTACAATGCTGGATTAAGGTGCATTTTATTTCTTAGTTCGTTGTTTTGGATCTCTGTCTGCTTTTGTGATTAGGCAGGTTTCCAATCCGTTAAATGTTAAGAGGGGCTCTACGGAACGGAGAGCTCGGTTATCATGCTGCTCAACGCCTGCCTCGCTTGGTGGCCGCTCATTCTTCACCACCACGCAACAGCCAGTGCTGACCACCGTTATCACCGAATCCAATGGACAATCCAAGCTTCCATCTTAAATTTCCCCCTTTTTTGCCTTGTCAATATCTTCCTGAAAGATGGAGTCCAGCATTCATCTCAACAGTTCAATAAACACACTTTAAAACAAGACAGCCCCCTGGGCAACTGGCTGACCGGAGCGTGAACAAAGACTGGATGTTTCCAGACTGTCAGTTTCAAAACTGCACTAGACTACACAGTCATGTGCTACTTCCATGCAGGCTCTCCCCCAAGGTCTAAGGTCACCCGGGCTGGAATCTGGCCCCACACCTGTTACATCTCATTATCCTGTCCAACCAAATAGTATCCAAGCTAAAAATCTGCCTTTTCCTCATCGATATCCGGTGAAGCATGAACTTCAGGACTCTACCACTTGGAGAATCTTATCAGAAATAATGACCGCTTTTCCATGATTCTAAGGCATCTATGTTCCCCCCCCACCCTTTTTAACTCCTCTAAAACCAGAAAACATCCTGCAGTTAATATGTACCTTTAACATAATCTCCTTCCCCTCGCCTCTCCTATATATAATCATAAATACAGTTGACCCTGGAACAACATGGCTCTGAGCTGTGCTGGTCCACTTATACCTGAGTTTTTTTTTCAGTAAATACAGGATGGCACTGAAAATGTATTTTCTCTTCCTTGTGATTTTCTTCATAACATTTTCTTTTCTCCAGCGTACTGTTATTGTAAGACTACAGCGTATAATACACATACCGTACAAGCTATGTGTTAATTGACTTCTTATGTTACCGGTAAATCTTCCAGTCAACAGATTATTAGAAGTTACGTTTCGGGGGAGTCAAAAGTTAAACGTGTATTTTCAAATGTGTGGGGGGTTGGTGCCCCAACCCCATGTTGTTCAAGGATCAACTGTATATTTATAATCTACAAATATAAAACAGATGGCGTGTCTTACAGCAAATGGCCTCTTAGACACAGGAAATCTGGTATCAGACAGCGTTCCTTCCTCTCTTATGCCCACACCCTAACACGTTACCCTGCTTAGAGCGCTGTTTGTCATACCTGCGGAAATCCAGGAGGGACCTCGCGGAAGAAGGCACTCCCTGGTCATACCAGCTCAGGAAATGGAACTGGGTCACCGTGCGCGTCTCGTTGGTTTGAAGGTTCTTCAGATAGAAGCTCCTCACGAGGAAATCCTCACACCAGATGTGCTCGGAGACTAGGTTTACCTGGACAGGAGGACAGGGGGCATTGGGACGTAAAGCATTGTCTGAGCAGGGAGCCACTCTGAGCAGCGAAGGGCGGATACTACGAGGACCCCATGCAGGTCAACAGCGGGCTTAATGGCTCCTCCCACCTTCTCAGTTTTAACGGGGTTTATGCAAAAGATAACTGTGGGTTTTTAATGTCACCTAGGTGCATTAGTCACATTATTAGAAAATTGTGTTACAACCCAAAATGATTCCAGCTTTCATCTTTTGTATTTCTAAGCTATCTAAACCTTCAAGAAAAACTATACTTTGGAACAAGAACACCTGTGGGTTCTACTGTAACTTAGGTTTCACTGCAGGTGGTTATCAGCTAGAGGTGGAGAGGAGACCAAAGGAGTCACGCAAATAGCGTGACTCGGTGCTTCTCAGGGCCAAGCCCCTTCTCAGCAGCCCAAAATCCATGACTCTGTGATCTAGGATTTATCTTCATGCTTCCACCATGGGACTTTGGCCTTCTGACTAATTTTTAACGCAAAACAACAGATGCATGCTGGTACGTGTTGAACTGCCCAAGTTGGCGCAGTTCGTTGTCAATGTGGGTAGAGAGCCCAGCTAGAGAAAGAAGCTTGCCAGCAGGTGCCCCTCAAGGAAGGTCGAATCTACAGACCCACAGCCCTGAACGCCGCGGGAGGCCACGGTGCAGGCAGGGATCTTCCGACAACAGACCCAGGAAGGGTCTATCACTCGGAGCCTGGCTCAATGGGCCTGCCTGCGAGGTAAATGTGTTTTGGTTCCTTCTGTCTGAATTTGGAATCCTAAAACTTTAAAAATGAAGACCGCACTCTTTATGCCAGAGCCCGAGGTGCCACAGCGTGGCTTTTTGGAGGGTGTGGGTGCCTACAGACTGTGGGGCCCTGGGGAAGGGGCCGCCTGGGGAGGTGGGGGCACTCCTGTTCTCCGGGGCCCGGCGGGCGGGCGCCCTGGGGAGTACCTCGTAGACGTGGTAGAGGTTAGAGCCTTCGTCGGGCCAGTAGTGGTAACACTGCCGGATGCCGTTCTCTGAGAGGGGTGTCAGCATGACGATGACCACGCAGCCACTCTCCCACACCATCTGCAGACAGAGGAAGGCCAGCGGCCACAGCGTGACTGGCAGATCTGTGCGACACGCGCAATGGCCGCGCTCAGTGACGCGGGCCCAAGGTGCTCCCGCCCAGACCAACATCTCCTTCATCAGACCCTCTTCCTCCATAGCTGGCTTCCCATCTCTGAATATGCCCCGTAGTCTCCATGGTCCATGCAATACTAAAAACAACCACCAGTGATTCATTCCACACCTCTGAGAACCTCTTAAGACCCACATTCAGTGGTCTGGCTTCCCAACTTTGGATCTGTGAAGAGAGCTTTCTACCATGCTGCACAAACCCACAACATGGGCTCTTACGGAGAGCAATGGCTGGGGTTTCATGTACCTACACGGAATATGGCCATGCTACTCAATGAAAACAGAACTGAGTTAATAATTCATAGCAGCCACGTTATGAAGCGTCTCCGAGACACAGTGAACCGATGGCCGCACATCCAAATGCGGAGAGGGGGCAGACACCAAGGCCCTCCACGGGATTCCCTCTCAAACACAACTCCCAACTTCGTGGCTGTGGGCCTGTGTATTAACACTGGAGCATAATCACGAAAACCATGAATTCTATGGGGCACGCTGAGGCGGCACTGCAGACATGTATTAGCATATTAAATTATAGAGTGAAGAGGAGCCTACTTTCCCTGCAGTGGGTTACGGTGACTTGACAGAAATATTTATAAGCAACTGCATTTAGATGTAAATTTCATATCTAAGAGATCTTGTATTTCTTTTAAATACAGATATAACAATCCAATTAGAATCTTGTCATTTAAAAAAAATCCACATAGCTCAAATATAAAATGCGTTTCCTTCAAAGTTCATGTTATTAAATAACCCCCTTTAAGTGATATTTTAAAAAGAGACATGTCCACGGTATTTTCCTCTTTGAATATTGATTTATATTCCCGCGTGATGGGAATAGTCGATGCTTTTATGGCACTGCGCTGTGTCTCATTAATACTGGAATTTCATGGAAACTGCTGGTGTTTATGAAAAAGCCCACAAATAAATATGAATTATGCCCGAACCTATATGCCTTCATTTTCCTTAGCGCAAAGCCAACCACAAGATGAGAATTTAAAGCATATGTCTCACTTGCAGCTTTCAGGCTTTGCAGCCTGCCCCACTAAATTGGTCCTTCCAGCACATAACAATTTAATGTGTCTTTAGAAGGTGGAGAAGCTCATTGAAGCCATTACGAAAATGAGGAGAAACAGAGATTTTATGAGTGTAATAAAAATACAATGATCTAGACCATAAACTAATCATCTCACACTCTGCTTGTGCCACCCAAATGTGACATTGGGAAGCCCCTCATTTAAAGAGGGGTCTGCCCGGCCGGGTAGCCCCGTTCATTGGTCCGTGCACACCGCGCTTCCATTCAGGAGCCCGCCTGGCTCTCTGAAGACTTGGTTAAGATTAAATCCGAATGAAACTTCATTTAAACAAACAATCCCAAAGGCACTCTTGGGGATCATATTTCTTTTTAGGTCACCGTGTCGAAGAGCAGAGAGAGGAATTCAGTAAATCACACAAACAGGCGGCCCCCTCGGGGCCTGTGTGTCCGCTTGCCGGGCGACGGAGCTGTTCCCGCATCGCTTCCCACCTGCAGCCGCCGCGTCACCCACTGACCTTCATGACACGCCGAGAAGAGTTAATGCGGGTTCTGGTGGGATCCAGGACGCCAGCCAAAGTTCAGGTTAGAAACAGGGAGAGGTTTCTCTGTTTCCCCTTCCGTGGCTCCCCCAGCCCTCGGGCAGTGCCCAGCTGCAGGAGGGGCTGTTTGTGCGGTTAGTCTTTGGGAAATCCTAATCTTTCTCTTCTGGGAAGCAGCTATCCACCCAGAGTCCCCACTGAATCTCAGAAGCGAGGCAGTTTGCTGAGTGAGTGGGCTAAATGTGTGAATGCCAGAAATGGTGATTTCTAGCACTTTTCTTTTCAGTGTCAGAGACCACGACATGCCTGGTCACCTCCTGGTTTACCGGGCACCTTTACCGAGCACCCAGCACGTCAGGAGATTCAGAGGTAACTAGAAGTGCCCGCTGAAAGTGGGGTGGGGACCGCGCCCCACAGAGCGCCACGGGGGTCTGCAGTCCCGCCCACAGCTCCTTTCGCGCCCAATGGATGACTTTTCCCAAACAGGAAGCAGCTGCTTCCATCCCTGGATCCAGACGAGGCCACCAACATGGATGAAACATGAGCCTTTAGGGTTGGATCCTGAGTATAAGCCAGGGCTGCGCTCGGAGGAGCTTTCTGGGGAGCTTCTCAGATGCTCCGGCACCACCCCTCAGGAGTCCCCCCCTGAAGGCCCAGGACACCTCAACAGTACGGCTTCACGGCCAGGGATGGGAGCGATGGTGGCCTCTGGCGTTTATGGTCCCCGCCAACCTCTTCTTGGGCAACTGTGTGCTGCGGGAGTGGGAGGGGTCTGCTCGGTGTCCCATGTCACCACCCACTGCCAATCCCTGGGAGCCCGCCCCAGGCTGCGTCTCCCGGGGACACGGCGGAGATGCTCACGACGCTGTCACTGCCAATGGGGACCCGTGCGTGGCCTTGGGCAGCAAGCAGGCAGGTAACGGGACATCCCGTGGCTCAGAAGGTCGCTCTGGTGACAGGAAGCACACGCTTGGTGTGTGATCCAACTGAGGCAGTTCACTGACGGTTGATAAGAAAAGCCAGATTGCTCTTTGTTACATGTTGAGTTTTGTCCCCCCAAGAAGATATGCTGAAGTCCCAACTGCTGAGACCTGCAAATGTGACCTTATTTGGAAATAGGGTCTCTGCTGATGTCATTGAGTTACAGAGGGGGTCATACTGAATTAGAGCGGGCCTCATAAGAAGAGGGAAAACCCCGGGCAAAGACAGGCCCTGGCAGGAAGCCTCGGGACTGTGTGGGGTCCCCAGATGCTGAAAGGAGGAAGCCCCTCTGGCCCCTTGATTCCAGACGTCCGGCCTCCAGAACTCTCAGAGAAGCCCCCCAGCAGTCGAAAATCCACACTTAACCTGTGACTCCCCAAAAGCTTGACTACAAGCCTATAGTCGACTAGAAGCCTTACCAGTAACGCAGGCAGCCAATTAACACATGGTTTATATGTTATATGTACATTATTTGCTATATTCTTATAATAAGGTAAGCTGGAGGAAAGAAAACGTTATCAATAAGATCATAAGGAAGAGAAACTATGTTTACAGCACTGACCTGGAAAACATCTGCGTCCGGAGGCCCCGGGCAGCTCAGACCTGCATTCGAGGCTTAGCGGTGTGCTTGCTGCCAGTGGCCTCCTCGGGGCTGAGCGTGCCCCTCCGAGGGGCCTATACAAACCCAATTAAAGCAGATGGAAGGAAACCACAGTCGTCTCCTCATCCAAAGTCTTTTTCGAAAACTAGCTCTTCAGCAAGCCAAACTCTTTCAAAGCCCCGCTAAGACCTGATCAAAGGAAAGCTCACCCATCCAAAATCGCAAAGGCCCAGGTCATGTTCTCCGCCAGGCACCCGGTTCCTCCAGGCATAAAACATCTTCCTGTACTTAGATCTCTTGTGATGTGTCCCTTTCTACCTTGCATCATCCATATCATGTGCTCACATCTTTCTCCCACTAGACTGGCATCTCCAAGAAGATCGGATGCTGGTCTGGGCACCATTTCTACCCTCCACGGCAGCCAGGGCCGTGACTTACTAGAGTGGTTGCTCGGCTGAAAACAATACACATGTTTAAAAGAGACCCTTTGACTATTTCTGTAAAAAGAGATAAAATGCTGTCAAAGGCATGCCTGGAAGAAGTTCTCCCAGGACCTGCTTAACATCCAGAAAAGCTTTTTTATTTTTCATTCTTTCAGCACATGAACTGTTTGCCTGGGTGATGGAGCTGCAGGTGCGTCAGGCAGACAGCTCTTCTCTGTGGGCGCCACATCCCCCCGCGATCCTGACCATACATGCGTTTCTGTGGTGGACTTATTTTTACAGGTTGAACAGAGATAATCTGAAGTCAGGCCATGAAGGGGCTGACTCACATTTTAAAATAATAAGGAGTCAATTAATGAGGTTTAGTAACACTTGCATTTTTCTCCTTACAAGCTCACTGACGTCAGTCAGCTCTAATGTGGTCTGAAATAGATCCGAAAGGGGAAAACAGGTGTCTGCAACACCTTCTGCAGTCGAGACCCCGCCCTAGGCCCCCCCGAACACCGTGTCAGAGTGCTGCAGCAGGCCTCTTGTGGTCACGGGCTCCGCGTCAAGCCACGGGGCACAGGTGAGGAGACTTCTGCTATGTCTTCCGTGCACAACTCATAACGCGCCCACCTGACCTGCCGCTTAGCACACAAACGTGTCAGCGCGGGCCTTCCTCGGCCATGAAGTCATCCTCCTCGCTAGCCGTGTGATGTTGGGTGCCGGACACCCTGCGCCCAAACCAGTCCCACGGCCGCCATTCCACAGCCCGTAAACGGCAGCCTCGACCTCTGAAATCCCTTCCCACCAGGAGTAAAGGAGAAAGCATCTAAATAAGAAGTCCTTTCTGTGTCCCTGGAACCGGGTTTGAGTTTTATTGGAAAGATGGCGCAGCTGGCCTAGCTGTCCAGTAGACTGGACAGCAGACTGGCTGGGTGCAAACCCTGGGCCCTGAGGGTTTCCAGAGCCAGGCCACCTGCTTCCAGACCCGACTTCTTCATCCAGCCCCTGTGCAGTCGCTACGGGCTATTCATCACAGGTGTTTGGACATCTGGGAAGTTACCTGGACCCGAGGGAGTGTCGCCACTTAGAGCCATTGGCAGTCCCTCAGCCTTGCTCACCTTTCAGGTTAAATATGTGTGTCGTCTGCTTAGATGAAAGTGCCACGCTCAGGCTGCCACTTTCTTTTCAAGATGAGAACCTGATCAACGCATCAGTCCAGCTGTGGGTCCCAGAGAAGGAGGAGGGGGGGTGAGGGTGGATGAGGAGGAGAAGGTGGACAGGAAGGAGGGGAGGGAGGAGGGAGGGAGGAGGGGAGGAAGGAGGAGGGATGGAAGAGGGAGGAGGGGAGGAGGGAGGGAGGAGGGGAGGAAGGGGAGGAGGGAGGAGCAGAGGAAGGGAGGGACGGAGGAGGAAGGAGGGGACAGGGGACCGGTAACACACTTAAGAGCAGACTAGCCAGGACGTTTTTGGCTGCGATCCATAATGTCAGTTGAAAAGAAACTCAGGGGGCGCCTGGGGGGCTCAGTTGTTGAGCGTCTGCCTTCGGCTCAGGTTGTGATCCCGGGGTCCTGGGATGGAGCCCCCCATCGGGCTCCCTGCTCCGCGGGGAGCCTGCTTCTCCCTCTGCCCCTGCCCCTGCTCATGCTCTCTCTTGAGTGCTCTCTCTCTCAAATAAATAAATCTTCAAAAAAAAGAAGAGAAAAAGACACTCGGGATATATGTCTCTCACCCAGGCCCGAGTCTGAAGGTTGCCAAGAGGGCGTGTGTGCTCTCTGCTGCGCGCTCCCCGAGCAGAATCACCGACACCCCTGCAGATCCGGGCTTTCAAGCCCACCTTTAGGGGAGGTGGCATGATAGGTTTTCTTCTCTCTTTAAAGGTTTATGAGCTCGTGTATAGGGAGTCCAGTGAGACTAAATATCTGAAGTAAAATGTCCTGGAAAATCCAGGGCAAGTGGCTGAAGTACTTATGAACAGAAATAACAAATGAAGTTTTTCTTAAGAAATTAACTCTCCTCAATTCTTGTATTTCCTTTAATTTGACCCAACAACGTGCTTTAAAACCAACCAATCCGTAAGCTAATAGGGCTCTGGAGTAAATGTCCCCCTTCCACAATTCCTTGATGCTCCAGAAACAGAAGACCCCTTCATGCACGAACCAGAGGTGAAGACCAAGCACGATTCGTCACAAGCATCACAGGGTAACAGGGCTTCGGGGACAGGCTCAGGCTCTTGGAGTCAGGTGTCTCAGGATGGCCAGAAGTCAGATTTCTGACCTGAGCCCTGGTGTGATGTGGTCTCCTGAGGAAGGGGGACGATGTGGCCCTGGAGGGCCCTGAAGCTTGGGGAGGCTCAGGCTGGCCCTGGGGTGCCTGCACATGACCAGGCCAGGCTGGGGCCTCTCTGGATGCTGGCTGGGCTCCTGTGGGATTGGATGGCGATGGCTCTAAGGTGTCCATCTGTGGGTGGAGCAGACTGTGGAGGTGGGGGCCGCCAGCTTCCCTCTCCTCTCCGCCCGATGTGGGCTTGGGCCGTGAGAGCAGGGCAGATGTGCAGCAGACTCGGTCCTTGGCCACGTCCGGGCCTCGGGGACCTGCTGTGTGTGTACTGCTCACTCAGGCTTTGTCAGACTCTTCCTCCAGGGTCCCCGTCTTGCCTCCTCACCCCGACCCCCAGGCGGAAAGTGCCGGGGAAGGAGAACGTTTGCCTTCTTTGGCTCTCCCACAGAAGCTGGCTCCGAGTTTTTTCTTGACCACAGTAAGGACTGGGATCGATAAAAACACACTATTTAAACCCAGCCCATCACTTTTGGAAAAGAGAGTGCTTCCCCGGTGAAGGCTTCATAACAGAATACCTTCCGGAAGTGGAAGACGGAACTTGACGGGAGGGCTTTTTCTTGGTAAAACGTTGATAACAGCATCTGTGTTAGCGCTGGCTGGGCACCGGCGGGACCCCCGCTGCCTGGGGTGGGCCCTCTGCCCTGGGCTGTGGACTCCGCGCCCCGTCCCTGCTCGCTGGCCTCTGGTTCTGTCTGAAAGAGCTCATCTGTCAGGAAGGACGGGCCAGGGTGCTCTTGGCTGAGCCACCCTGTGGTGAACGGGGACGGTGACCAGTCCGCGTCCCATGGAGAACGTCCCAGTTCCTGGGGCAGAGGGGCTGCTGTGACCCGCTTCTAGGGGCTTCGCGTGCCCGGCGCTGCAGCTCATGTCTGTAAATAGTTCTCAGGCACCCGAGCTCGGTCAGCCGGGTCGCCTGAATTTCTGGTGGTGACACATCAAAGCGGCCACTGTGGAAAGCACATGGTTCTGCCAGCTTCCCCTAAAAATACGAGAGGAGGGACCCCTTGGGACCCTTGGGACCGGGTGGGGGGTGGGTCAGCGGGAGGAGCTCCACCACCGCTGTGCGAAGAGCAGGGACCTGTGGCAAGAATGGCAATGACTGGCCAAGTCCCCAGGACGGCCCCTTCCTCCTACTGCCCCAGGCCACCCGCCATCCCATCTCACAGAGAAGTTTCTTCTCCGCGAAAGCTGTCCTGATGCTCCTTCGAAACGGCTGGCACAACACGGTTACGTCGTCAGGAACAACGGGTTTACTCTGGGAATGCCCACAGTCTCCACAGAAGACTGCTTGCCTTGCGTTTCTGCGAACGGACGCGCCCAGGAGCCTCCCCATCACGGTGCCTTCTTCCTTCTCAGGGAGCGGGGGTAGTAAAAGCATCTGAGTTCTAGAGATCTGGGTTTAAAACATGCCCTGCCTCCAGCTGGCTGTGTGGATTCAGGAAGTCATTTAGGGTACCCCAGGCATCAGCCTTCTGGTAGAACGGGGATCATGATATTCTCTCATTGTAGTAAAATATACATAAGATGTACCTTCTTGGCCATTTTTAAGTGCAGAGTTAAGTAGCATTAAGTAGACTCACGTTCCTGCGTAACCATTGCCACCATCCATCTCCAGAACGTTCCATCTTCCCAAACTGAAACTGTCGCCATTAAATACCAAGTCTGCTCCCCAGGCGCCTACCCTCTACTTACTGTCTCCCTGGATCTGACTCCCCGCAGACCACGTATGAGGGGACCCCAGGGGCTCAGTCTCGTCCTTGATCATTAGGGGCATTGACTGAAGTTGCCACCTGAAGCGTCTGCCCAGGGTCTAGCATACAGTAAGTGCTCAACGGGATTTCCCTCCCCTCCCGCTCCTTTCCTTGTGTTCACTCGGACTTCAACGCCCCCCTTCGCACACGTGCATGTGCATCTTTCTCTCAAAGGAGCCACGCAGGCCCCGTTACACAGATGCGGACGTCCTCCCGGATTAGAATATGTATTTCAGGCTCGGGATCAAACCAGTGGACAGCTGGCCTTCACCGCCTTCTCCTTTTCCCCCACCCCCCGTCCCAACGTTTCCCTCCCCACGCGGCTCATCGACGACCAGAGCTTTTTGGTGCCTATGGGCTGTCACAGGCTGGGGCACCAGGCATTAGCTCCTTCCTGCAAGGTAATTTAGAAGTACTGGGGACCTCTGCATTCTGGACATGCTAGGCCTGGTTTGTGCCCCCCTCGCTGACCTGCCCTGACCTTCACGGCCCCTCCCGCCCCCCCACCTCCCTCCCCCCACCACCCAGCGGCCTCTCTCTGGATTCCCACAGTGGCCATGTGTGTCTCACACATGGCTGAGGCCTGAGGAGGACGCGGGGGAAGAAGGGGAGGCCCCTCGCTCTCCTGTTCTGCCCTTTGTGGCTTGTGGTCACACTGGCTCTCAGCGGCTGAGCCTCGGTCTGGGCGTCTGGGGCTATGCTGGACAAAGCAGACTAGCCTGGCCCTTAAAATGCATTACAGAGGATCTACAAGGAAGAGAAACTATAATTTGAGCACCATTTTTTACTTTCATAGGGAGAGAATAATAGATAAGGATTTGAACAGAATGTAATAAATACTTATTAATTTCATTTCTTTGTACTTCATGAAATAAAATTGTAAAGTGGTTAAAAAAGTAAGGGTCTTTAAAGCATTCAGTCTCTCGAAGGGAATTTTCATACTCATTTTGAAAAACAAAAGATAATAAAAAACATCAAAGGACCTGTATAAATTCTGAAATCAAGTAACATTTGACGAGCAACACCTATAAACAAGTTCAAATTTACTGAATTGAATCCAAGGCATCACCCACTATTAATTTATCAAGATCTTATTTTCAGAAAAAATTTTAACTCAAGCAGACTCACCTGCCAGAAGTCGGCCACGGTGGCAGGCAGCGGTCCCTGGGTGGCGATGTAGGCGGGATTCCTAGGGTCGTGATCCATCTGCAGAGACAAGAGAATAGTAACAAGGATTATTAGCTAAAGAGCAAGGAAACAACCAGGAAAGAGAACCCTGGCCAAAGAGGAGGTGAAGGCGGCATATCCCGCGCTGAATGCCAGCCACAAGGACACACGGGGTTGTACAAGTGGGAGAAGCAGGCTGGTCTTCCTTGCTGTCCCTCCTGATTCCAACAGTGCTTGGCTTTCAGCAGAGCCCCTGTGGCCCTGTGCCTGGAGCCTGGCTGATGCCGGAATGCTTCACGCCTGATATCACAGTAACAGGGACAGCATGAGCCACAGTAGAGACCCGTACCCCAGAGACCAGATGCCAAGAAATAAACAGGCTGGGCAAAGACAAGGTGGTGGGGGCACAAGGTGGGGTGCCAACATGGCGGTGTCTCCACGGATGCCAGCAGTTGTGCCGCGGGCCAGCATGCGTGGCCTCCACCCCGGCCACGGGACTCCCCCCAGGCCACCTGCCAGCATGCGTGGCCTCCACCCCACCCACGGGACTCCCCCGAGGCCACAGGCCACCTGCCAGCATGCATGGCCTCCACCCCAGGCCACAGGTCTCCCCCAAGGCCACGGGCTTCCCCCAGGCCACCTGCCAGCATGCATGGCCTCCACCCCAGCCACGGGACTCCCCCGAGGCCACGGGCCTCCCTCCAGGCCACCTGCCAGCATGCGTGGCCTCCACCCCAGCCATGGGACTCCCCCGAGGCCACGGGCCTCATGCATGGCCTCCACCCCAGCCATGGGACTCCCCCGAGGCCACGGGCCTCCCTCCAGGCCACCTGCCAGCATGCGTGGCCTCCACCCCAGCCATGGGACTCCCCCGAGGCCACGGGCCTCCCTCCAGGCCACCTGCCAGCATGCATGGCCTCCATCCCAGCCATGGGACTCCCCCGAGGCCACGGGCCTCCTGCCAGGTGACCTGCCAGCATGCATGGACTCCACCCCAGACACGGGACTCCCCCGAGGCCACGGGCCTCCCCCCAGGGCATCTGCCAGCATGCGTGGCCTCCACCCCAGCCACGGGCCTCCCCCCAGGCCACCTGCCAGCATGCGTGGCCTCCATCCCAGGCCACGGGCCTCCCCCAGGCCACCAGCCAGCATGCATGGCCTCCACCCCAGCCATAAGCCTCGACCCTGGCCACCTGCCCGGGTGAGCTGCCTGCACACCCACCATAGGCCACGTGCAGGGTTCCAATCAACAAGCACTTTGTGAGAACTGCAGATGTAGGACTGGGAGAGGTGAAACCAGGGGGCCAGGCCCATGAGCCACCCTTCAGGATCCTGGAAGAATGAATGAACAAGTGCATCCTGCCTCCCCTAAGAGTTAGCTCCTCCCACATGGGGGCTTGTTCCTGTTACCCGGGAAGGAGCGCTGGCACCCGGGTCATGCCAGGGGTCTGCGAGCATGATGTGCAGGCCCTCCCCAGGAGACAGGCCCAGGCTTCCAGCAGCTCGTTTCCAGTTCTAGTCCTATGGCGCCAGGCAAGGGGCTGAAGACGGACAAACAGTAGAATGCAGTTATGGGTTTTCTGGCTGGTTGGTTTGTCCAAGCCTGCTGGCCTCAACAGAGGGGTCTGGCTTAAAATACCTTCGTTATGACATTTAATTCAAAGACGTCTAAGCAGGAAAAAGAAGGGAGAAAGGGACCCAAGGAACAAAGCCTAGAGAAGGAAATTGGGTGGAAATGCCGTGGACAGCCCCTTCCCGTCACGGGACTCCCCTGCCTGCCGTGCACCCTGGACAGGACTGCGGGGGCCACCCGGGGGGCGGGCAGGGGCCTTGCGCTAGAGCCTCACCTTGGCGCTCACCTGTCACACGTGCTCAGTCCCTGAATCTTTCCCATCTGGCGATAGAATCTATTACTCTTTTGATACGAGGGTTTGACAAAAGATTTAAAATGTTCTGTGTTTAAAGATAGTTGTTAAGAATACATTTCCCAATGCAGTGAGAAAGGAGGTTTCAACCACACATGGTTCTATGGCAGCACATGACGATGTCGGCTGTCCACCCCAGAGCCACCCTAACACGCAGCCCCGTGCTGGGTTTGAAGGACAGCCCACGTGAGGCACGGTCTCCGGAGCACGGATTTAGTGATCCTTGCAGAGATGATGGTTGTCAGCATAAAAGGGTGCGTGACGCACTTACAATTACATGCACCGCGGAAGAGCAGATGTAAATCATTCCCACAGAACAACAGTGGAATGCTGGCTGGGGTGGGGGGCGGGAGGAGGATGCTTTTTCTGCCTCCAATTTAGTGATTCCCAATTAAAACCGGACCTCGTTTTCAAATTCACCACAGCACACACAATATAGGTAAAATTACGTTACTCTCGCTGAAAGCCCCAATTAAAATGTTTCAGTAGAAAAGCTTAGCAGAAATAAGGAGTTTTGATTTTTCAAAATATGCATTTGTTGGAGGTGACAGCTATTTACAAAAACCCCATCCCTTTCTAGCAAACAATTCTGCATAAAAAGTAAAACCCTACCTCCTTTTCAAATGTGGTTTTTTGACCAAAGCAATTTAGAGAGCACCAAATTTAAAAACCGTTAGTGTGTTCAAACTAGCACACTTAGTGGCTTTCAAACTGAGAAATCTGTGATTAAAAGTAAAAACCTGAACAGGGCTTCAGGAGGGTAAACAAGGCAACCTACTGTGGTTGGTCTCGGTGGTCCGCTGTGGCCCGCTCCAGCCCAGGCAGGGGAGGGTGTGGACAAGGCCCACTACTCTCCCAGCCCCCTCGATGGTGGCCACGCGGCAGCCACCTGGGAGGCAGTAGATAGCATAATGACCACAGAGTGGCGAAATGTGTCATCCGTTTAACAATAATTCAAAGACAATTAGAATTATTTCATTCCGTGCACATTTTGTTGCACAGAAAATAATTCTGGGCAGAAGCACTTTGTATGTGTCTCACGGTTTTGTGCAATTTTTAACCGAAAAAGAGTAAAGCAAATATTTAACTAAATGAACAGAAGCTTTATATTTAAGATTTCCAGTGTAGAAGTGTAATCAGAGGCAATCAAGTTTCTACTAACAGCACTTTTCCACCAGGAACTCTGGCCCACAGGCCCCTGGTGGACATGGGTGTGTGTCTTCCTCTACCGCCCAGGGCGTGAGCATGGCGTGAGCACAGCGTCTGCAGCCTCCTGTGATCTGAGCTGCCGCTCCCCGACCGCTCACCACTCTCCTGTTCTTTGTGGAGTGCTCTTTACTTGTTCACAAACACAGGCTCCGGGGCGGTGGAGGAAGTCAGCTCCTGGGTCTGGGCCTCGGTCAGTGTCTGAGATTGGGGTGGGCTGCCCACATGACCTCCACGTGCCTGTCAGCTCTGGGATTCCACGTGCGTATACGTGCGGACTCCTCTGTGCGTGCCCGTGGGAGTGTGTTGGCCATAACCCTGAGGTTATCAGTCAAAGCCCGTGCGGTTCACGCCATGCCCTCAGGTGGCCTTCTCCCTTGTGTGCTGCGTAAGGAAGAAGGGCCCCAACCATCAAACAAGACTTACTCCCAGTGACTGCATAGCAAGCGAGGGCCATGGGGTGCCGGGTCCCAAGTACAACTAACACTACCATTTTGCTTTCACTAGGTCATTTTTTTCCCCCAGAAAACTGTGTTGAATCCACTATGCACGTGGTTGGCAGGGTACGGGAAAGGTGTGTTCCTACGAATTTCTAAATGCACAGGCTCCACAAAGCAAACCTAGCCATCTGCTGTAAGCTGGGCAATGCCAATTATTAAATGGGTGTGAGTGGTTTTCAGAAACTCTAACGTGCATTAAAAACTCAGCAATAATTTCCCCAGTACTACGAGCAAAACAGATGTTTAAACTCAAGTATTCGGTGTGTCAAGAACAGGGACCCACATCCTGAAGCCTTGAAGAGCTCGAGGGTGGGGCCGGCAGGCTGCCCGCTGCGGTCCTGCCCGACTGCCTGGTCTTGACCATGACCTGGGGAGGGGTGCGGGGCCAGGCCTTTCACTCTGAAGTCTCAGAGAGTAAACATGCACGTTTTCCTTCTCTATTCCTATCTGCCTGCCCCTGCATCTATTTTTTCCACTAACATTTAGAGCAAATTTCACAGAATGTTTTCTTAAAAACAAGCGAATATCAAGTCAGAGTTTTCAAGTCAATTTTCTAGACAGTCTTCATATGGGAATTTACTGAGAAACGGTAGCTTCCGTAATTGATGTGAGAGAGGTTGACTTAGGAGCTGAAGCTATTTTCATATTTTCTTCTTCTGAGTTAAGGTTTAAGTAAATTATAAAATATAATATACACACATAGATGCTTGCTTGTAAATATTTTCTGAGAACCTGAGAGTTGGCTCCCATATTTGGCCAATTTCTTATGATATTCAGGACATCTGACTGGTCACCCGATTTCCTGAGGAGTCCAGGTGCACCACTCACATTAGTTAAATGTGTTCTGAATTAAAACGTTAAACAATTTCTTCTCCCTCAGTAAACAGTGGAATGAAGAGTAAGTTTAGTTTCAAGCATTGGGAATTTCGGACCCGTCCCTGGTAAAGACATGTGTGTGCTGTTTCGAGCACACCGTGTGTTAGGCGTGTTAACGACACGCCTCAGTCTGCATCCCTGGGAAGAGCTGGGCTGCCTCCTGGGCGGAGCCCACAGGCTGCCCCTCACACACGCTGGGCGGGAGCACGGAATTCCCATTTACTTTCATGACCTCTGCTCTCAAAGCAAAGATTGCACATTATTTACTACCGGATGACTTCCCTGGAATTTAATGAGGACTAAGTACAAATATGACAGATGTAATTATCATAGTTTTATTCTGCACAGCCAGGGTCTTCTTGGGCTATAATTGTTAGTTTTTCGTTCAAGTGCTGCTAGGAAGCTCATTATCACTGTACCTTCAGTCATTTCAGAAAGAAGAGATACCACGGTTCATTCTTACAACCCAAATGAGAAAAGGAGAATTGTGGCGTGAAATGAAGGGGAAACATAAAAGATGCCTTAAATCCCTCTCTCTTCTGGCATCGCCTCCTGACCCGAGCCCCAGCCCAGTGGGGTTGGGGTTGGGGTTACCGTCCTGCGTTTCCCGTCATGGAGGCGTGGCCGGATGGTGGGAGGTGCGGGAGCAGCTCAGGTGCCCCACCTCTGGGCCCTGTGGGAGCGCCAGCGTTGCTGGATGGACTTCTGCACTGACATTTCACTTCAGCCAGAGACCACCAGACAGTGGGAAGTTGGAACCCATGAAATGAGGGGGAGTTGGGCACACCCCAACTGTGGACGCTCACTTTTAGGCTTGAAAATAACTGCTCTGCTTCTCTTCCTGGCCCTGTCCCATGGTTCATGCCCGGGACAAGGAGCCCAGCAGGAGGACACGGCTCTCCAGGCAGATCTGAGCTGCCGGCACCGTGGCCCACCGCGGGGGACACGTCCAGGCCCCTACCGCCCCCCCTTCACCAGAACCCATGCTCTACCCACAGAAGGGGAGGCTGTACACCCACGAGGCTTTGGCTTGATTCTAAATCAGAATTGACAGAAAATACTAAGCCCAGCAGGGCACTTACTGAGAAAGACAGAATGGCCCCAGATGAGAACCTGGAGAACACAGATGGGGCCAGTCCTTGAGGTCTACCTGTGCTGGCGGTAATGGAGCCACCCCTTAACAGTAACTGCAGGAGCCAAGGTCTGGGCTCAGGGGGTGTAGACGGAGCAGCCGACCAGCTCTTAACCCACTTTCTCATGGTGAGGCGGCTACACTGTCCTCCCGCTGTGCACCGTGAGGGCCAGGACACGGGCTCTGGCCCACGGCACACTGCACTCCCAAGAATAAGCTTGATATGCCAGGCGCCCCGGAAATAGAACCAGCAGCTACGAGAACATTCTAGCAGCAGCTCCTGCTGCTTGAAATCTGACAGTGAACCTTCTCAAGGGAGCCTGCTGCAGCCGGAATGCAAGGGGTCGTCAGGACGCCATGGGGTGCATCCCGAATCCAGAGTCGACCCATGGCCTCAGCGGCCACCCACAGATCACTGGCAAGCTCCCTGAGCTGGAATCCTACACGCACTGTTCCGCTCCATGCAAATCTGAGATTTTAGTCAGATATCCTGACGCTTCCCTGATGACCAACGTTGACGCACACAGTTCACGGGGGGAGGGGGTGGTGGGGCCACACCCAACCTCCGGCAGGAATCCCCACCGGCTCCCAAACTCTCCGCCATCAACCACACTGCTTAAAACTCTCATTCCGCGGACACTTGTTTCACTTGCTTCCCACTTAACGATCATTCTAACTTCATTCTGGAAAAGCCAGGCTGAGCATGGCTTAGTCTGACTTCTGACTCGTCACCCTCTGGCGTTCCGACTCCCCCGACTGCCCGCTCTCCCATGGGGTTCACGCCAGCCGTGGGCTGCAGGGGATTCTCTGGAAGCCGGAGGGCTGAGGGTCACGGGGGTCCCCCCCAGGGGTTTTGTTCTCAGGAAGCCCGGCCCCGGGAGGCACAGCCCTGCGCATGGCTCTCTGCTTGTCTTGAGGGGAAGGTCCACCCTGGAAATACCCCCGGGGACCAGCCTGCACGGACATCTGCCTCGGTGCCCTCCATCTTTTTAACAAGGGCAGGATTGGGGTCCAATTGTTTCCATTTCCCCTTAACAAATAGGGAACAAGTGGGTCTAGAAAGGAGGAACTCCACCAACCACAGATTTTCCTGAAAGTTATGGGTTCCAGTCGGTAAACCAGTGGCCGCTCTTGCTGGGCCCCCAAGCCAGCGGACCCAGGACTGCTCCCGCCTGGTGAGGACCCAGCCCAGGCCAGCTGGTTGAGATGAGTCACCTGGTTAAGACTAATGACCTGGCTGAGACTAGTTGCCTGACTAATACTAATTACCTGGTTCACTAGTCATTTGGTTGAGACTAGTTGCCTGGTTGAAACTAACTACCTAGTTGGCTAGTCACCCAGTGGAGACCAGTCGCCTGGTTGAGACGAACTATCTAGTTGGCTAGTCACCTGGTTGAGACAAAATACCTAGTTGGCTAGTCACCCAGTTGAGGCTAACCACCCGGTTGAGACCAGTCACCTGGTTGAGACAAACTACCTAGTTGGCGAGCCACCCAGTTGAGGCTAACCACCTGGTCGAGACCAGCTGCCCGGTGGAGACAAACTACCTAGTTGGTGAGCTGCCCGGTCAAGACCAGCCGCCTGGTCAAGACCACGCGGGCTCGTGGCCGAGGACGGGCAGGGGCCCCGCCAGGATGTACTCACGATGGGGCTGGCATTGATGTAGTCCGAGTTGCTGTGACTGTTCTCGGATTTCAGCAGGATCCTGGAGTGATCGTCTGCAAGCAGAGGCATAAAGTTAGATCTGCACACAGGCCTGTGTCCCCAGGGGCTACACAGGGGAACAGCAGGTGCCGAATGCCCTTCGAGGGCTGCCCGCGGCCATGCTGCTATCCCTCCTTAGGGCTCTGCTGAGGTCAGTTCATGTCACTTCCCCCTCCGTCCTCCATTCACGCTCCTTCGGTGGCAGGGCAGAGAAGCAGGGAGTGTGGGCAAATGACACTAGGTTTCCCCTGGCAGAACTGCGCTATTCTAAGGTCTTTCTTAGAGTCAAAATACCAGGATCAGGTGTCCCTCTGCAGGATCTTCTTTGGGGTTTCCTTTCAGCTAGTGGACATATATGGCCGCATATAGCAGATACGTATCTATGTGAATATTCAGATATCAGGCAACTCTTTTTTTTAATTTTTTAAACTTTTTTTAAAGATTTATTTATTTATTTATTTATTTGAGAGAGAGATGAGAGAGAGAGAGAGCACATGAGAGGGGGGAGGGTCAGAGGGAGAAGCAGACTCCCTGCTGAGTGGGGAGCCCGATGCGGGACTCCATCCCGGGACTCCAGGATCATGACCTGAGCTAAAGGCAGTCGCTTAACCAACTGAGCCACCCAGGCGCCCTCAGGCAACTCTTTTTATACACAATTTTGTGGTCTGGAAATGGTTCAGTTCTGGAGATAACAGGACTTTTCTTTTAAATGGAGAGTAGAAGAAAAAGAAAACATGGCCGAAGAAGGAAGAGGCATTGTGCAGGGGGGAGGCCTCAAACACGCACCAGGACTTGATGGATGTGGCAAACCAGACGCATCTGTGGGGATTAGCGCCATGGGATTGTCAACGCTTAGTGTGCTTGATCCATGAGTTATTCTTAATTCTGGTTCTGGAATAACCACCCTCTTGTGTACAGTGACATCCCTCTGCCTGTTTTCGGGAACTTTCCAAGCTGCGCCCTTGGAGGGACATGGAGGAGGGAGTGCGGGGAGCAGGGCGGTGCCAGTTCCGACAGGTTACAGGCTCAGGGGAGGGACGCCCACGACAGTCCCTCCTTCCTCCCGCCTTCCCTGGGTGGGCAGCCACCTTCTCTGTCCTCTGCGAGGCGCAGCAGAGAACTGAAAGCCACCAAACATGGCAGCGTGCTCAACCCTGTTATCTTTGCTCCAGTTGATGCCTCTGGGTGCCACACACAACACCTATTTCTTTTCTTCTGAGAATCTAAAGACAAGCTGGCTGGAGCCTTGGAAGCCAGGGACGTGGGGGGCTGTGAGTGTTTCACCCTGGCCCCTCATCCCAGCAGAGCATCCAATTCCAGGCTCCCAAACTTGAAAACAGCTCAGGCACTGGGGGCAGGGAAGCCTGGGGACTGTGCCATGGTTTGTGTTTCTTTCAATTCTCTAGGAGATTTTACTTAATTTTTTAAAAAGATTTTATTTATTTATTTGACAGAGAGAGACACAGCAAGAGCGGGAACACAAGCAGGGGGAGTGGGAGAGGGAGAAGCAGGCTTCCCGCTGAGCAGGGAGCCCGATGCGGGGCTCGATCCCAGGACCCTGGGACCATGACCTGAGCCAGAGGCAGACGCTTAACCATCTGAGCCACCCAGGTGGCCCTACTTAATTTTTTTTTTTGACAACACCTCTGGGTCTTGGGAAACTTGGTGAGTCTACTGGACTGGACATCATCCCACCAGTCTTATTGAGGTATTGACGTTAGCTTTTTTTCCAGTAGACATAAGAGAGATGAGAAACATCGAGAGATGAGGAAGAGCCCATACATTGCATGATATGCTTACATACGCATATGCCATCTGCACCCAAAGGTAGTGGAAATGCTCAGAAAGCATTTATGATGGTAGCAGCTGAGGCATCCTCCTAAGGCGGGAATAATGATACAAAAATCCCATGTGCTCAATGGTGTTGAGTTCCTGAACAAATATATTCTTGAGACAGTGAAAGTTGGCAGTGGCAGGAAATTGAAATAAAATTTACCAGAAAAATTGGTCAACTCTGACATCCTAACACGCTACAAACATTACTGTACAGGAGAAACGCAGGGCGCCTGACTCCGTGCTGCTCCCACCTCCCTCGAAGCTGTGACCTGTAGCTTGGAAACGTCTGCTCAGCCCTGCACGTAGGCACGCTAGTCACTGAAGGAATTTTGCTGACAGCTGAGACTCAAGCAAACCGCCCCTACCCGAGACCCACGTTCCCCCAAGGAGATACGGAAGTATGTACGGAAGTATGTACAGAAGTTGCTATGTCCAAGATTTATAGGACCATTGTGGGATTCCTATTCACACAGATCAGGCAACCAAGGACAAAGAAGTTTCACCGTCCTTCCCAGAGCCTTTCTGGCTCCTGGATGTCTACTGTCATCAGTCACCTTTGGACTCCAGCTCCCTCCCCTTCCCCTTCTTTCTCTCTTTTTTTTAAAATTTAAATTCAATTAGCCAACATATAGTACGTCATTAGTTTCAGATGTAGTATTCAATGATTTCATCAGTTTCATATAACACCCAGTGCTCATCACATCACGTGCCCTCCTTAAAGCCCATTACCCAGTTACCCCATCCCCCCCACATCCCCTCCAGCAACCCTCAGTTTGTTTCCTATGATTAAGAGTCTCTCATGCTTTGTCTCCCTCTCTGATTTCTTCCCATTCAGTTTTCCCTCCCTTCCCCTGTGGTCCTCCATGCTATTCCTTATATTCCACATATGAGTGAAACCATTTGATAATTGTCTTTCTCTGATTGACTTATTTCGCTCAGCATAATATCCTCCAGTTCCATCCATGTCAATGTAAATGGTAGGTATTCATCCTTTCTGGTGGCTGAGTGATATTCCGTTGTATATATGAACCACATCTTCCTTATCCATTCATCTGTTGAAGGGCATCTCGGCTCCTTCCACAGTTTGGTTATTGCGGACATTGCTGCTATGAACATTGGGGTGCATGTGCCCCTTCTTTTCACTACATCTGTGTCTTTGGGGTAAATACCCAGTGGTGCAATTGCTGGGTGGTAGGGTAGCTCTATTTTTAACGTCTTGAGGAAACTTGATACTGTTTTCCAGAGTGGCTGTGCCAGCTTGCATTCCCTTCTCTCAACATAAAAGAAGCCTGCATTTGTGCGAGGCCAGTCGGTTCTTTAGGACGACAGGCTGCCATCTTGGTCTGTTGGCTTTCTGGATAAAGTTGCTTTCCTTACTCCAACACCATGCCTATTGACTTACTGGCCTGTTGTGCAGGGAGCAGAAAGAGCTCAGACCTGGTTATACTACCCCCAAATGAAGTTCGAGAAGCCCAGTTCCACAGCAGGGTGCCTCATGAACACATCAAGCTGGAGGCTGTGATGTGTTGCTCAGAAGCAGGCGCCTTTTCTGAAGGACACACCAGGTCTACTGTTGCAGTCTACACAGAATTCTGGAATAAAAAAGCAGAGCTTCTGGCTGCTTCTAGAGGGTTCCAGAGGGCCTCCCAGGGGCCCTGCCCCATTAGAAATATGTTCACCACAGCCAACTTCAGGCACTGTTGATAGTGGCAATGGGGACCCCCCCCCCTCGACTGTCAAGAGAAATTTGTACAAAGAGCAGGGTCACTGGTTAAGGGACGGGAGGGGTACAGGGAGGAAGAGCTGCAGCCGCCAATCTCTGGCCTCAGAGGGCATGCTGTGAAGGCACCACACGTCACCCAGCTGGACAGGCACAGGCTTGGGGGCTGTTGGGCACCCTTCACCTCCAAGGGGACGGCACTGCCCTGCCCTGCGAGCAACCAGCCCAGTGAACAAGCACCAGCTGGATTTTTGAGTCAGAAAATTAAGAAAACTGTTCACAAATGTGGGAGTCTTGGTGAAATAAAAATGCAATCTGGCATTTTTGTTCGGCACTCAGAGCTTGGCACTCTGATGGCTGAGGGAACAATCTGTTTGGAGCCTGTGCCCGGTGGTGAGGACAGACTGCACTCTGTCAGGCTCCCTGTGAAGCGCTATTTCCACCATGCTCACTTCCTGCAGGCCACCCTTTTAAAGCCACCATTGAGTCTGGGACAAGGGCTTCAAAAGCTTCAGAGTTCTGCTGACTTCCCATCACATACTTGATTTTGCAGCAACACACTGATTTCAAAATTAACAGTGAACTTGTTTTGTTTTTAATATTGGGCCATCTGAAGCTCCATCTGAAACACTTAGAGCCACCCTGGAAGGGTTGGAGCACAGTGCGGGGACACGTCACAGGGATGGCTCAGGGGGTATTTCGATGGGTTGGGCAAATCTCAACTATCTTGTGGTTCACTTTTCCTGTTCATCTTTTTAAAACAGCTGATACGGGAGCCAGTGAGCTGCCATCAAGCTGAGTCTGGCTGCCTTTATAATTTGTGTGGCCTGGCGGCATGACAGATCCACTGGAGGTCACTTGAGCAAGCTGGAGGTGAGGCCAGGGCGGACTCATGAGCAAACCCTCCTTTCCCTCGCCTGTGCTGCACTGACTGAGCATGGCCAGTGTGAACACACACACCTGCCTGGAGCAGACACAATGGTCCCAACCACGGAGCAAGGATTTGTAGCCACCTGGGTGCTTGCCCTTCAGTTGAGAAGGGCGTGTGTCCTTTAGGGTCTTCGAGACCTCACTCGGGAGCCAGGAGATGGAAACTCAGTGTCTTCCTGTCTGTATTTGACCCTAAGATGGAGTTATTTTCTCTCATGAGATCCACAACAGTGAGCTTTATCAGGGAGTGGAGGAGAAAGACACCTGCCAAGAAGAAACTTGTTGAATTATGCTGCTGTGTGGGGCACGTTCCTTTTCTCAACTCCTTATTCAAGAGCGATGTTCCAAGCTTCTCCAGCGTTCTCTCTGCTCCAAGAGTAGTTTTACACATATTACCTTTCTTCTTCTGGGAACACGGTGCCATAGGTAGAATGGGGTCTGTGTCCCCATTTTAGATTGAAATGATTTTCATAAATGCCAAAAGTTCTAGAATTTCTTCTTGATTATTAGTGGGACAAAGAGCATGTG